GAAAATCCACGTTGCATCTCCAAAATGGGCTCTTATGTACACAAAATACAGTTTGAAAGCGCAGTCCTAAAGCTGTCTTAAAAAGCCACAAATTATCATTAAATAGACAACAAATTTCCCATTAAACATAATATTTTTTTCGTTATAATCACTTTATTATTTTCTTTTCACTTAGAGTTTATTATTACTTTTTGAAATACAGTAGATTAAAACACTAAATAAAATTTGTAAGCATTTTTTTATTTTTTAATTACTCAAATGAAAAAATTGACCCACGATTTGAAGTTAATAAATTTCGAATTCAGTTTTGAAAAAGGAAAAAGTTCGCCATCTTTGCATGAGCCCATAATCTTTCCTGTAGGCGCTTCCCAGTAACATGACCGTAACTATATTTTCATGTGCCTGGTGCAAGATTTTATTCCTCGATTTATTATTTTCTTGGAGAAAATATTAAAAAAATAAATACAAAAGAAATGATCGGCTAAATTTTGGCTTTCGTTTTTAATTGTTAATTTCATTCGTTTGTTTAAAACAGTGTCTTATTTTGTACATAAGATATTTGAGATTCGAAACGTGAGGACTAATAATATTTTCTATTTTCTTTTTGATTTACAGCTTCCGTGATCTTATTTATAAAATAATCTCATAAGAAACTGTTTTTTTTTTGTATAGAAAAAAAAATAAACTTAGTTATATAAAATTTAATTTTAGAAACTGTATAAAAATACAATGCAGGAATTGTTTTTTTTCTATTTTATTTATTTTTTATTTTTTAAATTTCATTTCAAATATAAAAATTCTTAAGATGAAAAATTGAAATATTTTAAGAGAGTTTGACTTAATATTTAATTCGTTAAAAATATTTATGTAATAAAATTAGCGTTGAAACCTTTTTAAAATAGAACAAATTGATAGTTTATATCAAATATGTTCTAATTTTGATTAAAAAATTAAATTAAAATGAAAAAAATGACTAATTCTTTAAAAATATTTAAAATTTATTGTATTAATATATTAATGATATATATTATATACGAATATACCCTGTCTAGAGCAAGAGTGGACAACTCTTGGCACGCGTGCCAAACGTGGCATGCAACCAGAGCAACTTTAAAAAATAAATATATAACATCTTCGCTGAGTTGTTTATATTAACTTAGCAGATATAATTGTATTGAGTAGAGCAATACTAAATAAAAATGCAACGATGAAACAAACACTATATACTGTTTTAGTAATAATAAGCAATAAGAAAATTCATCAACGAGTTGCACGACTTTTCCGACAAAAAATATTTATGTTTAAGAAAAACGCAGAAAAGTTTAAAATTTTTATTTAAAAAATAACTTTTATATTATTAATTTTAAAAAAATTTCGAAACAAATACTTTTATTTTTTTAGTAAGCTAAAAATTCACACGAGTAAAAAAACATTCATAACTTGGAGCTTTTTGAGATATTCCCCATCCGTTTAATATCCAATAGCCCGATTTTCCAGAAAATTTCTAGAAGCATTTCCTCCTAATACACAAACCTACCTGCAAAATTTCAGAAATGTTTGACGAAAAGCACAGGAGTTATTAAACTTCAAAGTGGGTAAAAAAATTATACCTGCAATCAATCCACCTACACACACTCTAACAGAAAAGTTCCCAATGTTTTTTTTGCATTTCTCTAAGATTCAAGGACCTCTCGAATCCAAAAGTATAAAAATAATAGAGGAGGGTAATTTTTTACAGATCATCATGCTTTCCTTCAGTTATGTAAAAGACGTCTATCTCTCCAATATACTGACTTATAAGATTTATTCCGTTCAATTCGCCAGGCAACCAGATGTAAAGTGATTTCTTTACCATCATTTGATATATTTTTTCGTGTTCCCTAAGGAATTTATCGGGTCTAAAGTATATAAATATACATATTAGTAGTTCTTTCAATACTTAAAAGAGACTGAATAATAATATACTCCGAAAAATTTAGGTTGCACGTGAGAAAATTTTGCATCATAGATTTAGAGATTTTGAAGGCACAGTAGTTTCCCACTCCTGGTCTGAAGGAATACTCTATTGTAGATAGAAGATGAACTGTATCAATATAAAATGTATTGTATATATTTTAAATAAATAATATATAATGAAGTGTAATTATAAATCGATGATATTCGTTATAATAAAAACATATCATGAATAATTCATTATTTTTTATATAAGAAATTTGGTAATAAGATACTGTATTTTTTTTTCCTTAATTTATAAAAATTAAGGGAATTATTTTACATATTTTATATAATTATTTGATACTGTTAGAAATACCATAATTTTTCGATAAAAAATATTAGATAAACATGAATTCTAACGTCAATTTTATTATAAATACACGTTAAATGAGCTTTAAATAAATTTTTAAAAATTTACGTTGAATGTTTATTTTAAATTAGTCTTGTGATTTGGTGAAAATAATACTTCCAAATTGGAGAAAGTCGAGTCATGTTTGTCTTCCTTGGGAATAGATACAGGAATGGAAATGTATTTTGGAGGTGACCTTTCATGTTTCTAAAGAGACGTTGGTCTGTTTGTTCAAAGAGACTTGAATGTAGAGGTGATGTTTAAATTATATCGAAATTAACTTTCTCCTTCAGTACACACACCTATTAATTGTAGAGCGTGAACATTCTCTCGATAATTCATCAGTAAATGTTATTATATTGTTCTCTTATAATAAATTAAAATAATTAATAAAACATAATTTATTTGACTTGGATGTAATTCATGGAGAATATACAAATATTATGAGTATAATATTTAATTTTTAAATGGTAACTTTTCTATTTTCTTTAAATCGTTTCCAGAAACATTTAATTCTCAAACGTACCTTTCCGTGTAATAAAATACAGAGGAGAGGTAAAATTGATGATGTTACATTCTCTAACCAGTAACAAATATATATCACTACATCATTGACACGTCTCAAATTGATACAACTAATGAACGTATCTAATAGATGTCGAGGAAGGTTGGTAAAAATAGATAGAACGGTTAGAGATACCAGAGTAACGATTTCTTTGTCAGCTTCAAGTAAATAAGAATCGCTGTTTCTGCTTTCCAGTTTGCATTGGCCTCTTTTCAGTAACAGAATTACTGTTGTAACCATTGTAAGTGCGGGGAGTACAAATGATATAAAAAGATATATCTGATAAGAACATCCAAAATATGCTTCTGGGTGTTGGTCACACATATAAAATCCTGTTAAATATGTTGTTATTATTATTTTTTTAATTTTTCTAGATACTTTAAAAAAAATTAATGATATTTATTACCTGTTAAGTATTTATATTCTCCCCAATTATATAAAGGCGCTGTAACTTGAGCAATAACAACAAATAAAAGTCCTGCTAAAATTACTCGGACAGTCAAGTCTGTGAAAGATGACAGATATTCGTGTGGTTTCAAATATCTCGTACACCTAAGTAGAATTTAAAAAAAAATAAATAAAATGACATATTCTTACGTAAAGCCTATATACTTGTAAATCTATATTTCGAGAAAGAATATTAACTATTTTGGATAAGACTAATATTTTTTATTCTTATCATCATCATCGTCCTAGAATTTAATTTAATAAGACATACAGTACTTAGAAAATCATCAATATATCTATGTACTGTACTTGGTTGATGATTTGCATTATATCTATGTTATAATAACGAATTTTCTTATATCTGATACTATAGAAAATAATCTAACATTAAGTACTATAAGTATCATCTATATATTATATACTTATAGCATCATCTGAGTATTAAATGATACTATTAACTAAAAAATATGTTTTTTTTTTTATAGTTTAATCAGCATTCAAGAAATAATAATTCTTTTTACTATTTCTGGTCTCTTTCCAGGCAATAGGAAGACCAAGACTGAAAATATTAATAAAAATAGATGCTAAAATCTATTATTCAAGTATCATAATATTTACAATATTGGTATCATTTGTGTTATTTCTATTCGTTCTATTTCTTCTTACCTTTCTAAACAGAACACTGCTAAGTACCATATATAAAGATGACGAAAAAGCGAACCTACAAAACCTTGTAATTGGCAAAATCCATTTCCAAATACCCATTCACCTAGAAAAAAATAATTTTGGGTTTTATTAGAAAAATCTTATAAAAGAAACAGTAAGAAAAAACAAAATTTTATGTTAGAATCAAACCCAAATACTGTTTAATAATTAATTATTATTCACTTTTTAATAAATATTATATGAGAATAGTTAAGTTAAATATTAAAATTTATTGTATTAATATATTAATGATATATATTATATACGAATATACCCTGTCTAGAGCAAGAGTGGACAACTCTTGGCACGCGTGCCAAACGTGGCATGCAACCAGAGCAACTTTAAAAAATAAATATATAACATCTTCGCTGAGTTGTTTATATTAACTTAGCAGATATAATTGTATTGAGTAGAGCAATACTAAATAAAAATGCAACGATGAAACAAACACTATATACTGTTTTAGTAATAATAAGCAATAAGAAAATTCATCAACGAGTTGCACGACTTTTCCGACAAAAAATATTTATGTTTAAGAAAAACGCAGAAAAGTTTAAAATTTTTATGGAAACACATCTTCCCTATCATCAAATGTCACTGCACGCTACTGTTCAACATGTTAGAAAAAGAATAAGTAGTAATATTTGAAAAATTAACCCGAGATAACCTAATCTTTCCGAAATACTGTTATTGCTCGTACGCAAACTTAGCACACACAAACAATATGGAAGGAATNTTTTCAATTCAAATGAAAAGTGTGAAAGATGACAGATATTCATGTGGATGTTTGCATGACAACAAAGTAATCATTTAAAATGTTTAAGCATTTTATATTTAACAGTTGAATGATAATCATTAAAACTGTGAAAGGAATTTTTGCAAATATAAATATTTACATATTAAAAGTTTTAAAGTAAAAAAAAGGGAAAGTACTAATGCTTTTAATTTAGATGAAGTATTTAGGATATTCAAGTTAAATAATAATTAAACTTCTATCTGTAGAACTCAAATTTTGTTCTTATTTGAGTAGACTTCTTGTTTTTCTTATGAAAATTGATTACTTCAAATACTTAAGAAGAAGGAAAAGGATTATTGGAAGAAAAATATAGAGTAATCAGTTTTTTTTATATTAAGTTTATTTTGAAAACATCGATTTTATATTTTATGTATTTTTATGGTTAAACTATTTTATAAAATTAAATAAATAAAATAAAATAATTATTATATGCAAGTAATTGTATTTTTAAAATATTCCAATTCTTATTTAGTCATTTCTATATACATTTATTTTGATTTCCAATTATATATTTATACAATTAGAGAGCTCCTTTTATAATATTATAAGTCTGTTTAACTAGAATTAAATAAATTATATCCATTAATTTGCAGGATTTTACAAGATTTGGAAAAATGATTATAGTTGCTAGTAAAAACACAAAATAAAATAAACTGCTTATATAAATTGTTTCTCTATAGAAATTTCACAAATAATGAATTTAGTAAATTACAATTAAAGTCAGAAAGGAATCATTTATATTATGGATAACGAACCTTTCTGAATTTGCATGCCAAAGTAGACACATTTAACTTTACAAAGAAACCTGCGTGACGAAAATTTCAGAGTACCAACAAGGATTTTTAAAGAAATGTAGTGAATATACTTTAAAATAAATTATATCGATAAAAGTATGGTAATGTACTGAATAATTATAAAATCATAATAAAAACTGAAATTGCGTTAAATTGAAATTTATACAGTAAAAAGTAAACGAAATCGCATGTGTTGTGTGCAAGATAAATTTACCACATGCGATTTCGTTTTTGTGCATCAAATGTTTTTTTTACTTAAACCATTAATTAAAATACTGTACTTTGTCATTTATTTTTAAATTATTACTTTACAATCTTTAAATTATCATTTACAATAGTATGATGGACAGTTTGGTAATTTGTTTCTTTTTCCGTAAAGCCTAGAGCGTACTTTTTTAACTCTCTGCGCTCTGTGGGCACAAAGAGAACCATGTTAGCAAACTCATTATGGGATACAGATAGGGACGGTACCGGACGTACCAAATCCCAGTCCGTATTCGATTCCGGGTCCCCAAAGCGGTAGGCTCTCACTTTAACCATTTGGCCATCCGGCTGTCGGTCTGGTGCTCACTAGTGATTTTAGTTGACAAAATAGAAACACATTTGAATGTGAACCACAGATACCATGAAGTGACCACTCGCACTGGCAACTTTTAATCAAGGCTATTTTTCCTCTGAATTTTTAGAGGAAAAAAAAAACTTTCAATAAGCATTGAATAAATTATGACTTTTTTTTTTCATTGCTAATCATATTATTTATTTTATTTATTTAGTACAAGGTTCTTCTATACTCTTTGTACGGGAAACAAAGTAAAAAAAAATACCGAACAAACATATTGTCCAATAACAAACACAAATTCTGTAAATTTAATAATTTTTGTACAAAGTCCAAATTCGTAGATATAAAAACCAATACATAAAATACAATAATCATTACGTACACGCAACATCCAGTGTATAAGTACAATTTCAATACATAAATAAAATATCCAATAGAAAAATATAATTACAGATACATTAATACAAAATCCCATACATGATAATTAGTTCATAATATTCCAAATATACAAAATTAACTACTAAACAAGCTGTGATATACTGTGACGACCTGATGCCATAACAATAGAAATGAACACAAATTATTAAAAATAATTTAATAAAACTAATAAATCCAAAAAATGTACCTACCTGGAAAAAATACGAAAATAAGAAATATACAAAACAGTTTAGTAAGAAGTCGTCACAGCCAATCAACATCAAATTAACCCCCAAGAGAGCTGAATCCAACGCTCTTTTAATACTAAGCGATACTGTGGCCCTCTGAAATACAATTTAAACAAAGCTTTATAAAAAAAGAGATAAAATACATTGGCGTGCCATCCATGGAAGCTGTGGAAGTTCCGCTTTCTTTGTATTTTCTAAAATATAAATACATTTTGTGCGATTATTTTCATATTGTACCGTACTTTGAATTATAATAAAATATTAATTTTAAGCAACCGCATTATGTATCTTATTACAAATTTCTATACTACATGTGTAAAACAAAAAGATTACTATTGTATATTCAAATATACAGTAAATTCGTATATACATATTTCCAATGGAAGCGCTGTATTGTCGAATACAGGATAGCTTCCACGGCGAAAATAATAGAATGGTGCAAAGCAGCCAGATTATACGCATTCGCTTTACAGAGCACCAACCTCGCGGGTTAGCTGGTGCTACACACCAAAATATCGTATAACGCTTCCAATAACACTATCCATTACCCACTCAAAACAATCCACTTAGTCAAATGGCTCCCTATAAGATTTAAAAAGAAAAGAATATTTTGTTATTTTTATGTACGTTTCTTTACAAAGCTATATTTAATTATAATTATATTGACAAATTTTCAGACAAAATCTTTAGAATTTTTATCACTTTTACATGTTAATAATTTTAAATACGAGTGTTATGAAAAACAATTTTCCGAAGCGAGTTTTAATTCTTTCAATTATGTAAATTTATGGAGAATTTTTTTATTTATCTAAATTACATAGTGAATTGCAATATTTATATTCGTGTCCAGTCTATATTGGCAAGTTACTCTTAGACATAAAACATATTATAATTAATTTAATGACTATCTGAACAAAGACGTACAAAAAGAATTATATGATTTAATATAATTAATTTTTACGGTACCATCTACCAGTGCGTCTATTGAGCGCAGTTTTTCAATCATAAAGTGAATTCATACATTTGCAAAGAATACTCACTTGTCAGTCAGAGAAAAATTGTCGTCACTATCGATGATTTCAATAGAAAAAGCTTTTAAATACTTTGACAGAATCGACGACGAACGATTTTTATGATAAAGTCATTAACAACTTCGCGGAAAAAAATTGCCAAATAGAGTTACTTTATAAAAAAAATAATAAAAACAAGTTCTTATAGCTATTTTTGTTTCGCATCAATTATCTAGTTTAGAATTAAAATAAATAAACTTTTATTTTTGTCATTTCTAGTATGTTTAAAACTTTTATGGAAACACATCTTCCCTATCATCAAATGTCACTGCACGCTACTGTTCAACATGTTAGAAAAAGAATAAGTAGTAATATTTGAAAAATTAACCCGAGATAACCTAATCTTTCCGAAATACTGTTATTGCTCGTACGCAAACTTAGCACACACAAACAATATGGAAGGAATTCTCGATTTTAGATTCATTTCAAAAGGAATATTTATGATCCTCTTCAAACCTCTTCAAATACAAAACCGAATTTCTTCGAATAGAAAAACCTCTAACAGATAAAAACATCTTAATAAAATTAAAGAAAAAATTTAAATTTAAATATTTTTCTGTCCTGAAATCCAATTTCATTGGTTGATATCAAAAAATTGTCATTCAGAGTGATCCTATTTCTAAACTCCCACAATAATGAATCGGAAACACGCAACATAAAACCCTATAACAAAAATCACTATTATACCACTGAGAATAAGAAGAACCATAATGGTTAAGCAATTTTTTATTCCACTCCCAAATCAGAATAATTGTTGAAAAGAAAAGTCCTACAAATTCGAACCATCCTCAAGACTCTTAATAATATAGAAATAAATAGGGCATCTACCAAATTCTAACGCTAAGAAATAATGTGGGACCCATTGTCCTAAGCGGTAAGCATGTCTAATAAAATTCCATTGGATAGATTCATAGGCCTACTCTGTATTCCAATCATAAAACCATACTTCAGCACCACACAACACCTCCGATAACAACTGGGATTCATATAAATGAAGTTTGTCTTTCCATTTAGCCAATCTACTCTTCACACATGTTTGGATAATCTTAAACGACAGAGATTATGCCTTCTTCATTAGGTTGAGATGTTTGACAAATCTCTCATTTGAACAAAATAATACACCCAAATATTTAAATTCTCGGACCACCTCAACATTACGTCCTCTATAAAACCACTTTTC